AAAGGAGAAAATAATTTTTGCTTGGAAGTTGACGTAGGTTGTTTCCGTTAGATGAAAGAGTTGTAGTAAAAAAACATTGTTTGTCAAGGGAGATGTAACTCTATGGTTTTAAATTCAGTCAACTGACTTATAATGCATCTATTTGTACACGTGTTTGGAATTTAAATATATGATTCACTTCCTTTATTTCTCTTTTTGTTGAAAAACATAACGTACAGAGATATTTCTGCTTTTAAGACATGCCACGTCTATCAGTTATCAGAAAAATGATAGAAGGAGAGCGTTAGGAATGCTCCAGGTTGGAAATAAAAATCGAAGGCTTAATTAATGTCCACACAAAGAGCATTGGGCATTTGTGCCTAGAACGACACAATTTTAATGAAAGACCTAAAAGTGGCAGGCCTTAGATCATAATGCAGAGACAAGACCGACACATCCACCGAGTTCATCTCCAGAACAGATTGTGTCCTGCTTCTCTGCAGCACGTAATGTTCCTAGGTAAAGACCAAGGCATTAAAAAAAATAACCGTGTTGGTTCCGGTATTCTCCCAGTACAGACCGATCTCTCTGCCAAGGGTTTGGCTAGTACTTCTCTCTTTCTAAAGCACCTCGAGCACTGGGCAGGCTTTCTGCAACGGGTTCCCTGTTTGAACGCCAGTTCCTCACTGACGCTGCTCTGGATTTCCGATCTTGAATTTCGTGTTGAGGTGGTGTTTCAGTTGGTTATCTTCTGTTCCAAGTTTTTTGGATTTTTGTTGTTGTTGTAATTCTTTAAAGGCGCTTACAGCTGTATAAGGTCATATTTTTATGAGCTCGCAGGACACATTTTTAGTTTGGTGGAATGAACTTTGAATTTTTCACGGGCGGCGCCCGAAGCTTACTGTAATCCATTTTGGACCAACAAGGGCTCTTTTACGTGCGCAGCTTGCACACGGGACCTCCGAGATTTTTCGCCCTTTTCCGAGAAGGGGCTAGGCGTTATATCTTACCTACCCTAAGATCAGGGGTGTGGCTGAAAGACAGCAGTAAGCAACAGCCAAGGAG